TGTTGTGCCCTCTGATCCTGCTGATGGCCCTTCTTATGGGGGCCCTGCTGCTGTGGACCCTTACCCTGCTGTTGGGGTCCTCCTGAGCCTGGAAAAGGTCTCTTACCTTTACCTTTATCCCTAGACTGCCCTGACTTAGCATTTCCATCTTTGCCCTTCATGAATATAGTTGTGTCTGTCTCCTGAGCTATAGCAGCATCTGCTACCTCCCACACTGAACGGAACCTCCGAGATACTAGATATCATCGTAAACCTGGACGAAGTCTAATCATGAACATTTGAGCATGCCTCTCCTTGGTGTGCCACATGCCAGTGAATCTAAGAAGTGACATGAACTTTCTCTCAAAATCCGTCACCAACATATCCCCCTGCTCCAATCAAGCCAGCTCTAACTCCTTCCCGGCTTTCGCTGTAGCCGAAACATACTACTCCTCAAAGAAATACACAAATATCTCCCACGAGGCTGTCAACCTCTGCTCGGGAGTAAAACGAAGCCGATACCATCCTCCTGCATCGCCCTTGAGGCTGAAAGCTGCTAACCTTTGTTTCTGCACAGTATTCACATTAAGCATGTCCAGAATGTTGCTTACATCGTCCTTCCATTTATATGCCATAATGGAGTCCGTCAAACCATGAAACTCTGGAGCCTTCAACTTCTGGTACCTCTCCACCAAACAAAGCCAAGCCTCCTGCTCAGCCACTCCATTATCAACTGGAGGTAGTGGTGTGACTACCAGTGTTCCTTCGGGTATCTCCTCCTGAATGGGAGTTCCCTGTCGAACCTGATCTACTAATTGCTCCTCAATAGCTGCCAGTCGAGCTACCAAGTACTACGGAGCCTGCTGCGGTTCGGGCTCTCTATCGACTTGCTCAGCTCCCTGAGCACGAGTACCTCGACGTCCACGACTCCTTCCTGACATCTATAATACAGAAGTAGAGCTTATTACGTAGTAAATAGGATCTCAAGCAGAAAAGATAGAACGTATATCAATAAGTAAATCGTATCACATATTACTCATAGCATGCCTTCAAAACAAATAGTTCATAATTTTTTTTTGTAATTTTCCGCGTACATATATAATACGTCCTCACTCATACTAGGAATTCCTAGCGGACTGTATACATAATTCCTAGGAAACTCTATCCTAACTCTATAATATGACACAGGGATGATCCTAAGGATATTGGAACTAGAGCTCTGATACCAACTGTGACGCTCCAGGGTTCACACAAGGCTACAGTCTAAGGTGAAACCCAGATTGTCAAACCTGTCAAGCACCAAACACCATGCTACGATATGTTTCACCATCACAATCGCTATCTCTCTAGTGGAATCAACAAATAGGCGAAGGTACTAAACAAGCAAATAATGGAAATAGAGCAAAACCAAATATACACAAAAGAAGCATAAAAATAATTATCAGTGAGCCCAACAAAATAAGATGGAAGTACCTCTGAGTCTGAAATAAACCTCAAGTACAAAGAGTCAAATAAAGTATCACTACGTCTCTCCGCCTCTACAAAATGAAATACAAGTCTAGAGTCTGAACATAAACAACTAACTATGGAGTTCTGAAATAACTACTAAATAATAAATAACTAGATGGAATCTATGAAGAAATCCCATCAACCTGCGACTCTCTGTGCGCCGGACTCGCTGCCTGAAAGAGGGAAAAACAACGAGCGTCAAAGCGCTATAGCGAGATCATCTCCACCTCTCCCCAGGGGAAGGGGTAGGAGTATATAGAAAATAGAGTTAATATATATACATATGAAATCATTCATAAAATTCTAACTAGAAATTAATATTTAGGAAATCACAACACGAGAGTTAGTACGTCGACAGAAATAATCCAAACAAGAAACCCTCATGTATATACCATGTCTCAAATTGTGACTCCCTAAATACCAACTCTGAACCCTATGAATGAAGAACAGTAAACCAAAAAGGAAACACTCCAAACCTTAAACAAATATCCATCTCAATTTATACTCGAAAAGACAACTCTAACATAAGAGGGATCTCACCCAAAACAGAAATCAACTATGAGTCATATCATGTAAGCCACGACCTCAAAGAAAGTACCCTACTCACGGGGATCCAATATGAAATCAAAATACGACAAATAGTACTTACATGTGTGCATCTCCTTATGCAATAACGATACTTTTGTAATATCATTACTTAATCGCTCTGCGACAATAGGTTTTATCTTCCTATCCCGGAATACAATGAAATGATGATACTTTTGTGATGTTCTCACTCAATCGCCCTGCGAAAATAGGTTTTATCTCCCTATTGCGGAATACAATGAAATGACAATACTTTTGTATTACTCATACTCAATCGCCCTGTGAAAAGAGGTTTTATCTCCCTATTCCGGAATACAATGCAATGTGCTATGCTCTTCATGTTCATCTACTTAAATTAGGACAAAAAAATACATTAACACAACATATTCTAACCATTCGTGCACGTATCTCGGTGTGCGTGTCCATATCTAGTGTTTACTGACATCTCAGGTGTTAAACAACTCATAAACATGGTATCATAACAGTACAAGGTCGAGAGGCTCGCTCGAGAACTCAAATAGTCGACAAAAACATACACAAAGCCACTTACAGGTTGGCGGTCGACCGTGATTATGCGGCGGTCGACCGCGACTGATTCCTGA